CACCATTTGTGTTTTAACAAAACCCCCCCAAAAACCTGTAGCTGTCCCAACAACTCATGAGGAAACCTCTGAACTGTCTGATTTCCTCCCCCGCAGCGCTCTGCTTGTCTCTTCATTGACTGTCCCCTCCTCACACACACACATAGAAACGTTTGTTCTTCTATACTCATGGGGACTTTGCATTGACTTTCATTCATTTACCAGTATTTTCTATTACCATTTGACCCTAAACCTAGCCTAAACTTTATATAGGATGTGAACTGGGCTTATGTCCCCATAAGAAACAGTGGGTCCTCACCAGGCTGTGTAGTTTGCTTCATCTCTGAAGAGATGCTGCTCTTTAATGTTTATTTACTTGTCTTAGTTGTGTGTGTGGCGTGTAATTTACATTTTGTTGTTCTTTGTTTTTTTTATTCAAGTGCATTTTTTGTTAGAGACTGAGAGTCCACTTTGTTAAACATTCTTAAAAAATTAAAGTTTATTGATTTATTGCACTTACATATTACGCTTTTATAACTATTAGTTGTAAAATGGTCACCAGGCAATATTATCGCTTATCGCAATAATTTTTGAGACAATTAATCGCCCAGCAAAATTTGTTATCGTGACAGGCCTAGTTGTGGGATTTAGATTTTGGAATCATGAAGTCTCTCATTCAGCTGCATGGCTCAGCTCAGGATCTACTGTAAAATACCTGATTAGTTTGGTGTGATACCCAAAAAAAACACGCAGCCTCCCAATCCTTCTTCTGGTGATTTCCTCCTGCAGCACAGCTGACTGTTTGTTCCACAAACTATGCACAACTTTGCAGCTTTTTGTGAACAAATCTATCGTCTAAATGTGGACCTGAGGAATCATCACAGGTGAGGTGTTTTGATTTAATCTAGGTGACAAAAATTAATCTTTTAATAAATATATATTATTTAAATAAATCTTTACATTTACAATGGGCTGAGGTTGTTTTGATCATTTCTAGGCTGCTCTGTTTGAGGTTAAATGAGGTTCATTTTCATTATTTGGGTTTAAACAACAAAGGGTGGATAAAAGGTCTAGTGAAGGCATTATTTTAAAATATATATGGACAAGTCAAAAATATAACAAAAATATATACAAGTCTTAAAAACTAACACACAGAGAGCCCAATTCATCCCTTTCCTTTCTCTCAGATGGTTGTGGGGGTAATTTGGCCCTCACATATTTACAACATCGCTTCACTTTATTGAGGTTCATCATCTTCTTGGCATTAAGGGAACACACACCTATCATATATTTTAGCAAATTATATTATATTATTATCAAATCATATATTTTATGTTGGAGAACTGAGAGGTCAAAAATATGATCACTGTGATCAGAGACAAGTGACGACTCCGCATGATTTTTTTGTTGGAGGACATTTTAGTGAAATTAGAAGAGATGTGAAACATTAAATGAATGCACTCTAAATGGTTTTATTCAAATGCTCACTAAACATCTAGAATGTTCTCACAATGTAAAACAAGTGTTCTCATGTTCTCTGCTCCTCCTCCACAGCTGATTTTCTAAAGGTGATATTTTTTTTTCTTTTTCGTTTCCTTAACAAAGAACAGGCCCCCAAGAAAAACGGAGCCTGGTGGGAGTTCTGACTCGAGCCCTCAGCAACAAAAGCAATTACAGCAGGCGTTTCGAACTAATGGATCCAACTGAAAGCTCAACCTCGACTTTCCTGAATTACAGCTGTGTTCCCGCTCGCCTCAAGTCCCGACGCTCRAGATGAGAGCTCACCTCGTGCTGGCTGACCTCAACAACAACTAAAAGAAATCAGCATTTAGATAACGCTATTTCATCGTCAAGAAACTGTACGTAAAAGAAAACAGCGTGGGTATATKATACTGTACCATGCAGCTAATGTCACAGCAAAAATACACTTGAAATAAAAAGCATAAACTCATTATCAGAGATTTAAAAGAGTCTTTTTGTAAAAGATAAACTTAAACTTACTTTCATCAGAGCCAGTGTTCTCCTCTGTGTTTTTAATGTAGTCATCCTGGAAAACGAAACAGAAAATTCACAGATTCACTAGATTTATTCATTTATGATAAACAAACAACAAGAACAAAAAAAGCTAAATAAAGTAGAACAGTTACTTTTATAATCATGCACACTCAGTTTCAGAGGAAATATTAACAAGAAAAATAAAACTAAAGGTTACAACTTTAAGGTTTAGGATGCTAATTGTAACTTTTATCTACTATATTGCTAAATTGATCCTTAAGCCACAGTTTTGCAGTTTTTACTACTCTATTGATGCTTTTAGCTAACGTTTTTATCTAGCATTTTCCAATTTTGAATTCAGCTGGTATTTTCCTCATTTTAGCTTTTAGCCAGTGTTGTGTTACTTTTACTGATGGTGGTCAGAGGGTCCGGTGGCGCCGGTGCATGGCAGCCTCGCCTCTGTCATGCTCCAGGGCAGCTGTGGCTACAATGTAGCTTATCATCATCAGTGTGTGAATGTCTGTATGATTGGGTGAGTTAYTGAAGTGTRAAGTGCTTTGGGGTCCAAGTGGGCTTGATAAAGMGTTAAGTTCAAGCCACTRACCATTTGCTACTTTTAGGTTTTAGTCAATGTTCTGCTACTTTTAGCATTAGGAGTTTTCCACTTAAGCTTTTAGCTAGTGTTTTGCTTGCAAGAACAAGTATGCTGAAGCAGATTTTAAAAGAATAATGTTTTTCAAGGAATTAAAGAGATCTCAGATCTTTTCTACAGGGAAAATGTAAATAAAGTGGAATTTTTAAAAAGTATAAAAGTTACAAAACCCACAAATCCTTGATCAGCTGTTTTAATATGAATGTCTAAAATAGCTGAATGTATCCAGAAGTAATTTTACAGAACGAATAAAAATGAAAATAAATTATTTTATTTATACTTTTTATCTTCCCAGGTTTCAAATTACTGTTTCAGTTTTTGCATAAAAATGTAGTTACAAACAGACCTTAAATCTAAAGCATATTGTTTTTATGATCTAACAAACAGCCAGCTGCTTCTCTTTTTGGGATTTGTTTTGGAGGTGACATTGGATTATAGGGTCCCTCGACTCAAACTAAAATGATTCTCCCTTGTGGCTCTGAGCACAGATGTCTGCAGATGTGACAGATTTGTAGCTCTCTGTAGTCATTTCGTACACACGTGTTGCAGATAGCACTTAGATCAGATTGTATAAAGTATATATTATAAATTTGTGATGTTCTTGGACAACTGGAGAGAGATCCTGGAAAAATGTGACAAAGGACCTTGAGGTGTTTTTGTCTACCTAACTCATTTTCACTGTTATATCGAAGCCTCTAACAAAGTAATCAGTAAGTCAAGGCTCTGAACTTTAAATTCATTTCTACTTCTGCTCTGTTGCAGAGGGAATATTTGCAAACTCGCACTGTTTTTTTTTCCCAGAGATCCTCCCTAGTGACGAGCTGAAATGATACACTCCGTCTCCCTCTTGTCGTATCCACTGCAACCCGTTTCTTTCCATGTCAGGACACAGAGGATCAGCGGTACAGAGGGTTACTGCTTGGCTCGAGGCCTGCAAAGGACCCCCAGGATCAGTTCAGATCGGTTTAACTGTATCCTAGCGAGGGGATAGAAGGAGACTGAGCTCTCATGTCAAGCTGAACAAGTGCAGCGTAAATACTGCGCACAGGATTGCTTTTCTTTCTTTTGTAGCCCAAAACACATTCCTCATAAGATATATTTCCTAAGATTTCATCATCATTGTAAAAACATGTTAGACATTCTTGTGTGTTTAACCTTTTTTGATTTGATTTGATTTATTGATTCAACAGGAAAAGATTATTAAAAGTCAAGCCTGACTCAGCATAATTGCTGTTTTACAGCAGGTTCCTGTTCTGCAGCACATAAAACACTCAGAATTACAGCATCACAATCACATCATTACACACCATAGACACAAAGACAAACAAGCATACCAAATTTCAGGAAGGCAGCATTTGCAAAATAGGACGTCTAAATATGAGCACAACAAAAAGTGTCCAGCAGATGGCAGACAAGATTCTTCTTAAAGGGCTGTAGTTTTGAAATGGACTTTATGTTTTGAGGAATGTCATTCCATGCTTTAGTATGTTTTAATCTTCGAGGACTTTTTGTCTGCACTGCTGCAGAAAACGACGCTGCATTACACTGATTTCAGTGTGCGTGCCTTAAAAACAAGTACTTCCTAATCATTATGAATGTGACACCATCAGCTTAAAAAGTCAGTGACTGTGCAAGAAAAAAAACAGTCTAAATAACAGGAGACACTCACCTCCACTTCCTGTGGCAGAGACCGGCAGTGTTGAGGGGAGAAAAGAAAAACATTTTAAAAAATGTTAAAAGTTGGAAATTTTCTGTTCAGAATGCAAAAGCTGTCTTAATGCAGTTATGACACCGGTTAGACTGTCAGCCATTAATGCACGCTGATTGCAAACCCTGCGCCGCCTCTCGAGGGACAGCATAAGACATTTACAGAAGATTAAGAGCGCCTAATAACTGAGTATGATCAGCTGCCACTTCTATGAGCTGGCAGGAGTCCTGATCACTAAAGGCTCGCTCTCTTCTTGTGTTTACTTGCCAGAAGACAACAGCCTCCTGTCAGTTTAAAGGTTGTGGAGAAGCCACGACAGCCTTGAAGTGAAACCGGGACAAACGGTGGGAATCTTTGAATCTAGATGTTTCTTTTCAGCTGCAGCAGACGCCTGACATTTTACTAAGCAGAGCAGTGACGCCACCGACAGATATAGCCTCTATAAAGAACAACCTTGAGTTAACATGAAAGTGACTTGCTTTCCTTTCATTCCATTTCACCACCTTGGCTTTGGTCCAAGGGCACTATGCATCAATACCCACCTCAGGCTCTCCCAGTGTGTTTTATCTTGTAGTGCGCCGGTGTGGTTGACAGAAATATAGCACTGCGTAGCTCTTTTTTTTCCCAGCAACACTACTCTGTAAATACACTCAATTTTTCTTATTTTTTTCCCTTTTTTTACTCACAAGCCTTACATGGTTGTTTAACAGTGCAGTGACAGCATCTTTATATGGACAATTTAGAATGCAATACTACAGGGCTGGACATAGCCTATTTGGCACCCTAGGCAAGATTTCAGGTGGTGCCCCATGTGCAGTTTTCTAAATCTCACTGCCAATTTACATATGTTCACATAGCAAATTAAATAATTCGGTAGCACTTTAAAATAACACCTTACTTAGCTTTACTTAATCATTAATAAAGGGTAACTAACCATTTATTAACGATTAAGTAAGGCTAAAAAAAGGTTATTACAAAGTGTTACCAGTAGATTTGTTTTTAATATAACTTTTTATTTTTAGAAACAGGTTCTCCAATTAAAATTGTGAACTTTATAATTCACTTGAAACAGAATAGCAGAAGACAATTTCATAACTGCCAACATGTGCTGACAACAACGAGGAACACCTGTTCATGTTAACGAGCAGCTGTGGAGTGAAGCAGTTCTAAGGGGGTCTGGAGACATACAGTACTCTTCTGGAACATTTTGTAAAAGATCTACTCAAAGCTCTGCATTTTTCAGGCCTTTGAAGAGCATTTTACTAAATTCTTGGGATTAATAAAACAACATAAAATCAGTATTTTATGATGGTAGAACACTGAAAACCAGACTTTAACCTGAACTTTATCAGAGATCAGAACTGACACTTCCATTTTCCTTATTTTGTTTTCTATTTACACACTAAGCACCAGTAGTTCATCTTAACTGCATCATATGATACTTTTATCACCAAATATCTTTTGTACCATATAACACTTCATGTAGTAACAAAGCAGCTGCAAAATCCTCAGAACAAGTTACCTTCATAAACCTGAGAAACTAATTATTCTACAGACTAAATCAACTATGCGCTGATAAAAAGTTATAGTCCACATTTGTGTCACCCCCTAGATGGGCGGCACCCTTTGTATTTGCCTATTCTGCCTATGCCACAAGCCTAGCCCTTTTTATTGCCCCTTTGATCAATTTTATTCTGGGCTTGGAGCTGTCCAAATAGTTTCCTTGTCAAAAACATAATAATAATCCACAAATAAACCACTAAGCAATCTAACACATAACATAAATCACCAGAAGACACAATATTCATTTGTCCTTTAAAAAATTGCAATTATATGTAAAAATAAAGAATATAAAGAATATATTTAAAACTAGCACTGCAGTACAAAATAAACAGTTTTTTTCTTTTTACAGTGAGTCATATGAGGTGAAGGAAAAAAAAACTTTTAATATGTCATGTCAAACACCCCCTCTCTGAGTTAAATCCACTTTTCCCTGTCAGATCTGCATCTTTACATGGCATTTAAAGATCACAGTTAAAACGCTGAACTTTCAAGCTGACATTAGAGCATAAAAAAGCAAGTTGTCCCTTCAGTTAGAAAGTCTGTCACATTGCAAATACGGCATTAATCATCAAAGACTGTTCATGTCTTGAATCAGATTTACGTAATTATTTGCAGGGGCTTCTGCAATTCCCTCCATTACATTGGTGCCAGGGCTAAAGGGAGCCCAACAGCTCGTCGGAAAAGGCCGGGCAGCTTATCTTCCCCCAGCAGCAGTGTGACAGCAAGGACACCAGGCTGAGGCTGCCTTTAGTCCTTCACCAAGGTTGAGAGCTAATGCTGTCCCATTGAATCTCAGCCAGGCTGCTGCTAGAGTTCACAGCAAGCCGCCACAACAGGGAGGGAAGGAGGGGGAAGATAGGGGCGCAAGGGGGTATGATTTTCATGCTGGAGGTCTCCTGAGTTAGGTGATTCATATCACACACACACCACCTCTTCTGCCATTTGTCAACAAGGCTGTAATGCAGCAGGTGTAAAACCGAGCCAGGAGCCTAATGGAGCTTGACTATCCAGATGCTGCGGCTGCTCCTCCTGGACTGCTCGCTGGTATTAGGCTGACAACGTTTGGCCACAAGCCTGACTGCACTCCTCTGAGTTAACGTCTACCTCACCTTGCCTGAGCCTCTTCTGCCGGAGACATAAATACCACTAAAAGCTCCGAACCTGCCAAGCTCAGCCTTTAGCCGCTGCAACACAAAAAAAAAGAAAGAAAAACATCCCAATCCTTAGCACTGACGGCTAAATGTTTATACACAATGGATTCCAACTCAGCATGATGGCAGCAGGGTTGCTCCTAAACCATTTAACTGCATGTCTGTCTCATTGAAAGATATGCAGTTCAATACTTGTTTGTAAAGGGATTTGGTTGGTAATGCTCCAGCGCTCAGTGTGATGCATGGATCAGCTCCTAAAAAAACATTTATAATCATAAAATAAATTATTATAAGGCCTTGAGGCCAACAGGGCATGGTGGCAAAAACATTAGTTTTGTCTATGCCAATATAAACTGTTTAATATAAGTAATTTGACATAAATTGTCATAAAAAGCTCCACACATAGCATGACGTCACTGTTACTAATATTTTATAGTCAAGAAATGGTCTGTCAATCCGATGCTGGTCCCCAGCACTTTGTACCCAAAGTTTGTATTTTGTAAAGGGTACAAAGTGAGCCATTGTGSTTAGGATTTGGGCAACAACATAACGTGGGGAGCAAGAACACTATTTTGCAAGAAGTGCAAACAAAACTAGTTTTACATTTTGTTTGACAATTTTCTCGCAATTTTGAGCATCTAGCAGTCGAAGCAGATCTCAGCAGGGACCTGTTCCATTTTATATTGCTCAATATTCAAAGATCATCTACGTTTTGTTTTAATGGTCCTAAAATAAACAATTTGCTGAAACTTGACAATGTGAATCAAAGATTTGTAGACTGGATTTAACAATGGAGTTTGGTTCAGTTAGAGAATTTAGTAATTTTCTCCTAAATGATTCCATTCTCACATCTTGGCATGGTATAAAAAAAGTKGGACAGAAAAGCAGTTTCATGGGTGGAAAGAGAGAATTATGATCAAATACTCTGATGATTAATATATTTATGTCTGGGTGGAATAAAAATTAATTTTTTGGGGGTTGGGAAATGTTTAGAAATATCCTGATGTGATAAACAGATGTTAAAGCTTCTCTTTGTAAAGTCTTCATAAAATTTCCTTTTATTTGACATATTTTATGTATGTCAAAGAGAGGGAGTTGAAGGATAAGTACTAAAACTGCTTGTTTAGCTTGGAGAATAAATTAATTGATTATATTTTTTTCTTCTTACAAACTTTCTACCAATTAAAATGACAAAAAGTGTTATTTTACTTCTTTTGTGGATCAGTCCGTTTTAAATTAGTTGCAAACACATTTGAACYCATCTAAAAACACTACCAGATCTACACTAGTATTTCAGAGACTCGTTGTTCACAAATATCCAGATATTTTAAAAAATACCAAGTGATTTTCTTGTAYGGTACTACAAAATGATTACCAGTTRATCAAAACTGCATAYATTCTTTGAAAGGTATCTTTTAAAATTCAGTCATWTACAGTTGGATAATATTTTTTAGGTGTGTACAGAGCTTCAGTAGTTTTCAAATCTCAGATTTGTCTTTAAATACCTAAAACCAAACCCTCAGTTACACGTACACAAACACATACACACACATATTAAGAGTTTAAGGTGGAGAAACTTTTRCAATGAAATCCCCCACTCTCAGGGCAATAACTGCCTGCTTCATCCTCTGCAATATTCCTTATTGATTTTTCCAAGGGCGACATTTGCAGCGAACACGTCACTTAAGCTGCAGGATATGAGTTGGAGGTTAAATGATGAGCTAGACATTTTGCATTCCCACCAGTTGTCATTTATCCAGCTTCATGAAGTCATTCACGCTGCTGGTGACTGGATAAACACAGGCTGATGGATGGAGCTTGTGTTCTGGGTCATGTCTGTAATGAAAGAAAGAACTGCAAAGGGGCTTTCCACTGTTGATTGCTCCACTCTGCGCTCAGACTGGGTCGTCCTATTGGATTCATTGGCGTGCATCTGCCCGTTTGACTGGCAGGACAATGTCAGCTCATCATTTCCCCGAACCATGATTTGCACGGTAATGTGCTCCGCCTGATTAATGCGGCTGAATTAGCTGCGTCTCCCCTTCTACTTCAGATTGCGAACGAAAGGGCRCGCAGTTCGGAGGCTGTCGTAAATCCATCCTCTTTAACCACGGAGCAGGCTTTGCTGCATCTTTACGACCCTACAGCTCTGCATGCTGGGGTCTAAAGTGGTGGAGGAAATGTTTGGTTCTGTTTGTGTCCTGCTGTCTGTGAGAAAGAACAGAGAAAGTGAGGCGYGGACCCACCGCAGACAGA